CCATAAATACAGGCTGATGGGAGCAGCCTTGTCTCTTCCATACTCCTGCCCTGCAAATTCCTTAAAGAATGACTCTGGACTTTGTTTTTTTTCCTCCCTACAACTCTGTTGCAGCAAACTGCTGATAAAGAAACAAGATCTTTACTAAATCAAATTGTGCCCTTTCTCCCAGTTACATAGGAACTGGACTCGCAGTTCTTGCCCTGAGCCAGGGCCACTGTGAGTCCTGTGTGGAAGTTTTATGAAAATCAGTCCCTTCAGTGCCTCCCACAACAGCTTGCAACTCCCCTCAAGCAGTCAATTTGCTTAATAAGTGAAACTTGTCTGTTCTTCCACCTACTCCAACAAGGCCCCTGTCATGTAGTTCAGACTTAACTACTGAAATTAATGTAATTTCATCTTGGCTTTTGTTGCCATGTACTTGCTAAAAATTAACTTCTAAATCTGACAGTTTTAAAAAGTATGCTGGATTTCAGAGTGCTGCATCTCAGTGAGCATCAGAGTGCTCATTCTCTTCTGGAATAACATCCTCCTTGCAGCCTAAGGTTTGATGTCTCTCTTCTTTGCCGTTTTTAAGACCATCTACTGTCTGTCTGTACAGCCTCAGCAATCCATGAGTGTGTGTCTTTGTTCTTTTTTTTTCTCCCCCTGACCACTGCCTTAGCTGACATATTTGTAGTGGTTTCCTTTACTGAAACAAATACTTCAGAGCAGCAAAATGTTTAGTTTCTCTCATGCCTGATGAAAGATTAAGAAGGAGCAAGCAAAACATGTTGCTTTAAAGCACGTTGCATAATAATATCAGTGCATAACTTAATAAAGATCTGGCAGTTCTGTGCAGAAAGTGATCTCCTGTTCTCAAAGCAATGCAAGTGGGAAACAGGAGGTAAAGAACATTGCTAAATCCGTGGATGATCAGGGCTATCACCTGGGACCATTGGCCATTGATAGTTTTATGTGCTACCTCCATTACAGCTGTATAGCTTCAGTGAAGCTCAAAGTATGTGGAGAGAGGAGGCAGAACTTCATCTTTCAAGTTACTAAAATTAATACAAATGAGGAAGGAGGCACTATAGTGCTCTAACCTGCCCACTGCTTGGGCTATGGTGGAGGAAAAGGTCTTCTAAAAGGGAATTTTCATGCATATTTGGCGCAGTGGCCTAACTGAGCTGCTCTAAGTAAAAAAGATGTGGTTCTCAATGACTGCCACTCTCCTACTCAGTGCCTTTGTTCAGACTTGCCTGGTCACATGCAAAAGAAACAGATGTGACAGCAACTGCTGAATAATCACCCCAAGACAGTCATCTAAAATGGAGATGCTTTAAGGATGGAGTTATCTTGCTTTTGCTTTTTATGTGGCCTGTGCTATTTCTGGGCTCGTGCTGCTGGAGGCTTCTTCTCTTGTACAAAGGATGTGTATTGCCAAGGTCTTTTTCCCCTGTGCTACAGCTGTATGTCCTCCCCCTCTCCTGCTGTAAGGCTGTGCAAGGGGTGCAGGTATGAAACAACCTGACAAGAAGAAGTGCTGGGGTAGCTCACTGAAAGCAGAGCTTTTTGGGATTTCCTGAACCTATGTGAGAATTCCAACCTGTCTTGTGATGCATGTAGGGCAGAGCCTAGAAAAATGAGTCTAGTTTAAAAAAAGAAAGTACTTCATCTGTGTCTGATGGCCAGGGGTAACTGCCAGTACTTCTTCCCACACTACTGCTCTCATCTCTGCTCTCTCCTGAGGCTGCTTCCACCAATACCAAGTGTCCCGTGGTCCTGTTTGGCACAGGATAATGCCTGTGTTCCTGCCAGGCAGGGTATTTCTTTCATTTGTTTTCCCTGTCTCTTTCGTTTGTATCCAGGCAGGTGCTGAAGGAAGCCTGGTCTCTGTTAGGGCAGCAGGAGTGCAATGGCAAATCACCCTGTGATACTGTTGAAACTCAATCTAGGTGATGGATTTTCCTTGCCAGTTTGTCCCAGCTGTCCTGGAGGTCACAGCATCCTTCCAGAGTTGTACCTTGTCCATCAGAGAGAACAAAGGAGACCATCCAGCTAGGGTGCTCTGGGCTGTTAGCACCACCAAATGCTAGTAGTCTTGCTATACTGACTCATTTCAGGGTTGTGAAAGTTAGTTGTTTTCTTCTCCAGTCCCAAAAAGGGTTTTTCTTCCCCGAAGTCATCTGAGCAGTGTAAACTCAAGTCACCACACCATTGCCAATGCTGGTAGTTCTGTGCATTTCATTTTTAGGCATTTGAGAGGTCTCACAGATCCCAGCTAAAGGGAATTATATTTAGAAAGTATCTTGTAACATGCTTAATGGCTGGTCACTTACCTTGTCACTGCAGCTTTGAAAGATGTCCAGCCTCCTTGTTTGAGCACAAATTTATCATATTGTGTTTTGACCTCTGTATAAATAAGGCCATTATCAATGCTGGTGGTTCACCTGTAAGGTGACTTCTAGGGCTGTTACACAGCTCTCTTTTTTTCCCCCAGGCCCTGGTGTTCTAAAAGAACGTGTCCATGTTTTTTCCTTTTTAGACTTTAGCTATTGTGTTGTTGAGAGCAGCATGCCAGCAGATCTGAGTGAAACTGGATAATGGAGGTCTGCCTTCCTGAAAAATGCCATTGCTGGAGAAGTTTCTATATATGAATTTCTGGGATAATCTGAGATAGTGCTGTGGGCGAGTCAGGCAATAAAGGGGAGCTTGGCATATGACACCCTACCCAGTACTGTAATCACCAGTAGTGAAGTCTGTGGACACATGGCTGATAATTTGAATACCACTTTTCAGTGGCAACTGCTATCCCCATCTGTGTTCATGTGGCTCTGAATGCCTTCACTTGATACTTCTGTTCACTGTTCCCTTGTATGCGTTGGAATGCAGCCCACTGCAGAAAACATGTAATTCAAATCACTCTCCCCAGGAAAGTGGGATCTTCTGAATGCATTCCCCCCCTCCTCCACCCCCTTCATATCCCTTTACAGCCAGTCAGTTATACAGAACCTGTTAATACCAGGAAGAAATGTAGAACAGAGAAGTTTTTGGTCTCCTCCTTATGAATATGGAGGGATAGCTCTTCACCACAAGTTTCTGAAGTTGTAATAAGAGTAGAGGGAAGTCTAGGGAAGATAAGGCTTTGAGAGTATTTACAAGGCACAGGGAAAATGTAGAATGGAGCTCTGCCTATCTCTTTGTTGCTTCTAGGATTATCTTGTCCATGGGTATTTTGCAGTAAAAAATTGGCTACTGTGAGTTGTCTAAGTAAATTGGGCCATTTCTGCTCCAGGATAGCTGTGATGTTGAGGTGACTTCTACTTTTAAGAATCTCATGTGTCTAGTAGTATGTATATAAGCCAGGCACTAGTGTGGTCCAGTCATGAGTCATCCTCCTTCTCCTGCTGCAGAGGAGCACAGATGAAACTAACTTCTTTCCAGAGCAGTGCTGTTCACTTTTTCCAGCCTGGAAACTTTAGATTGACAATTCAGAGCTAAATATAATCTGACTGGCTACAGGGAGTGACTCAGATGCAACAAGCAAGTCTGCCCTATCACCACTTCCAAAAAGCCCTGTTGGCTTTTCAGCATGAGTAGCAGAAACAGGTGGGGAACCAGTCTGAATTTTAATCTTTTTCTGTCCACTTGCCCTGTCTCCTATTGGCACAACTGACTTAGAAACTCAAGAGCCAGACCTTGCTCTGAAATAATTCTTGGGGGTTCTTCCTTCTCTAGGGGAATGCTTCTTGGCACTGCAGGTAGCGTGTTGGCATACCAGTCCAGCAGCACATTTCTTCTGCCTGTGCCGGATGTGAAGCACAGACCACAAACCATAGCATCCTCCTCAGTGTTGGGGTGGAGCAGTGAGTCATTGTGCCTGTTAGCTTTGGAACAGCAAGATGGACTGCAAAGTCTACAAGAGGAAACCTTGATTATGTCTGTCTTTATCAGAGTGGTTTTATGCTGCTGCCATAGTTGTAATAGCTCAGAGCCCTCAGCTGTGGTCAGATAGTGCATGTACAGGCAAATAAATCAGAATGCACATGAAATCACTGAGCTTATTGCTGTGTAAGTGAAGTATCATAGAGCCTGGACTTGGTATGAGTACAGAAACAAGCTCAGCAAAGTCATTGCTGAAAGCTTGACTCTGAACAAGCTTCTAAGTACTTGGGGTTTGAGCAGGTGATGTTCTTGCCCTCATCCAAAAAAAGGGACTTGCTGTTTATAGTCCAAAGCTGATCCACTGCATGGCTTGGTTTGCTTGGAAACTGATAACAATAATAGAACACAAACCTCAGCAGTGACTCTCTTGCTTGGCCTGGCTCTTCTTCCTGTAAGACCTTCATCCCATGCTTTATCCCATACTGCAGTTCCTTCTGACTTTTGGGAACACTTGCTCGGGGCTGACCTTCCATCTGTGGTGCTGATGGTGGTGAGCTCCTTCTGCAGCTTCATATAATTATTTTGTTTGGGTGTAAACCATTAAGAAGGTTTATTCAGAATGAGAAATAGTGAAGCAACTTCTTTGACTCAATGTTCTCCTACCTTTCCCATTTTGCAAACCTAGACAAGACACTATGACAAGCTAGCTAGTGTTAAGGGCTGGGGCAGTTTTGGTCATGTGTAGGAGAAAGATCAATCCCTTGGACAACTGTTGGCTCCATCTGCCCTCTGAATATGCCAACTCTGGGTCTGATATCAAATGAGTTGATTGCACAGGTAGGAGGGGTCCTGGTGGTAAGTGCTTCTGTGAGGAAGTGGTGCAGAAACTCATCCAGACCTAAGCTCAGGAAGAGAACCTAAAAGCAAAGATTATCTAAATGCACTGCTAAGGGTTGCTTGTTCAGTTGCCCTTGTTGCTTTATTTAGCTTCTGCTAAGGACCTTGATAAAGGTCTTGACAGAAGCAACTGCCTTCTCCATGACTTACCTCCCTGGTAACATTACTTTGCTATATGGACACAAGTCATGAAAGCTCTGAAATTGAGGCCCTTTTTTTTCCCCTCTTCTCTGCAGATTTCTCAGTCCCCTGAACATGCTCATTGGTGGCACTGTGGTGGTGTTGGTCTTCATGGGCTTTGTGTGGGTGTCGCACAACAAGGATATACTGCGCAGGCTGAAGAAGCAGTACCCAACCACGTTTGTGGTGTTCATCATGCTGTCTAGCTACTTCTTGATCTCCTATCTGGGAGATGTCATGGTGTTCATGTTTGGGATCACTCTTCCTCTCCTCTGTAAGTATTGTTTCTCCTCTCTGAGGAGCTAGAGGTGTGTGACTTGAGCTTTCTCAAGCAAGTCTGCAGAGCTTAAATTGGCTGCTGACTTTACTATCTCTGTTTAAATGATCCCAAACCAAAATTGTGGTGGAGGGAACACAAAACAGCACGAGCCATCTTTGATGTTGTTACTAAATGGGGACACTTGTGGTTATTTAAGCAGTCATTGAGACCTTAACATCTTCATGATGTCATGATGCTGGAATGTGTCTGAAGATGAGTGCTGAAAGAACTATGCATTCCTTGGGCATTCACAATTAATGAGTGTGTTTCTGCCATGCAGTGATGTTTGTCCATGCTTCTCTGAGGCTCCGGAACATACAGAACAAGCTGCAGAACAAGATGGAGGGAATAGGCTTGAAGAAGACCCCGATGGGAATCATCCTGGATGCTCTAGAACAGCAAGAGGATAGTATCAACAAACTGGCTGACTACATATCTAAAGTGAAGGAGTAAGCAGCTGCAACGTGGCATTTTTACCTGTTGCAGGAGTGTAGTTGCTATTTACTATTGTTCAAGCTTGCTTTCAGTTTGTGTACAAAACAGGAAATGCATGTGGTACAGGTTAGTAGTTGCAGGATACAGGTATTCCAAGGTCTTCAGGGCTCCTCTAAGAACATAAGAGCAGCAACTTTTTTTCTATTGTATAGCAAAATGTTCTGGTGTTTACACAATACATACTAACTAAACCGTGTTTGCTTGTCTCTTCTTCTGGGGGTAGAGGAGGAAGAGATGGAAACCTATGGAATGCAGTCTCTCCAACTGTCTTGTAGCAAATTTGTCTGTTAAAGTAACATCCCTTTCATCTACAAGTTCTACAAGATTGCAGGTTAGCCAGGTTATGCTGGGGAGCACCTTCAGCCTGTTGATGCTCAAGGTGAGCTGGAATGTATCAAAAGTAGGTATCTCTTGCATCCTCCAAATCCCTACCTTGAGTGGTCTGTGTGACAGAGACCACATTGCCAGCTTAACTGGCAAGAGGTAAAACTGTGCAGTACTTGTAACGAGTATGGGTTCCTGTCCTCACCTCACACTCCTCCTTTAGCAGCCTTGAAACAGTCTAAATAGATGTAAGCATGAAGAGTATACATGGCACTGTGCCTGTCAGTTCCAGTCAAATGTACCTTTGGTCTCTCCAAAATCCTATATAAACTGCTCCTTTCTGCAGGAGAGTCAGGCTTCCTTGTGTACCAGCTATGGCAAAGCACGGGAGGAAAAGGTTTCAGATAGGTTGGATGAGCTGGGTTTGTACCCCATTGGTGTTTTTAAGTACTGCTACTTTAGGACTTACCTTGTTCTGCTTTAGTCTGTATAGGCTGTTTGTAGATGGAGGTGTATGTGTGTTCTTGAGTGTGGGTCATCTTTTTCTTTCTTCTTAACCAGAATGCAAAGATCTAAGTCAAACATGCAATCTTGTTGGCTCTGTACTTCTGACACTCCTTACAGGAATAAACTGGATTTCAGGTTTACAAGTAAAAGCAATAAATGTCAAGATACAGTTTTTGAAAACCCATTCCAAAATCATTAAGATATTTACCTGTTACACCTCCTGAAGTTGAAAACATCATGGGGGATTCTTTTATATAAATATTTTAACTTAACTGCCAGGTCTGATGGAATTATCCTGATAACAGGAGCTTACCAACAACGGGGAGGGACAAGTTGTCCAGGTGACACTCCACTTCAAATATTCTTGCATTTCTCTTTTCTAACCAAGTAATTAACAAGAACAAAAGCAAGGATCCTTGAAGCTGAAGCTTTTATGTAACTTGCCATGCTGTTTTCATAGTGAACTCTGTAGAAATCTGAACATGTCATTCCATTTAAGTGTTAAAAGTGATCAGTATTTATGGAAAATGTCTATATATTCCAGCTGAAGAGTCAGTGGCCTGTTCCTCACTTGTAGCGCATGGTCTTTGTTTTTGGAAAACTCTTAACAACACTTAAAGGACATAGTAGCCTATGACTTCATCATTACTGTAGAATTTTAAAAACTGCACAGTACAAACAAGAATAAATTCTAATGGTTGGAGCTTGTGCCTCTTTCTGTGGTTGGTGGAACTCCCTGGAGGGGTGGTGGGAGATCTGGCACCCTGCATCTCGTGCCGCAAGGCTGTACTGGGGATCAGGTGATGGCTTTGAGGGAGGGCCCTGTGTCTGTCTGAGCTTTGTAGAGGCACAAAGTACCTCTGACCTGAAATGCTATGGCCTTGCTCTTGCTGCTCTAGAGAGGTGGAGTACTTAAGGTATTCGTTCATGCTGTTTCAGTCCCTTATATAACTCTACTTTACTTAAGTGGGATTTCACATTTCTTTTAATTACCTGAGAGGGATTTCTGCTTCTAGGATTACTGGGAGCTGTACCTTGAGCAGCACTAGGAAGCCAGCTCTGCTGCAGTCAAACTAATAGTGTGATCTCTGCATCTGGCTGCCTCCCTCCTCCTGTGATCACTCGAGTGGCTGCTCAGTGGGAGAACATGGATCAGAGTAGAGCTTCACAGGTCCTGCTCTGTAGACTCTGGTAATACGTGTTTGGCAGCTCCTGGGTGTAGCAGTAATTGGTGCCTTGCAGCTTGAGTTGGAGATTGTAAAGCATTGTATTATATTTTCCTTTATGTTCCCTGTCCCAGCTGCACTAGCCTGGCCCTGAAGCCAGTCTGGTGTGCTCCATGCAAGGGCTTGGTTAGAACTACCAAGCTCCTTCTCTTTCCTACTCTCATCCTTTACAAAAAGAGAGAGCTGCAATGAAAATGTTACTCGCATTTTTTATGTCTCTGCCATGCAGAAATGGCTCTTCCTTCCCCCTTACATGATACTTAAAAGCTGCTTGCTCTGTCTTAGGCAATACATCGACCAGGTTTCCCAAGCCTGGGACATTACAGTTCCCAACAGAAGCAGAGCTGAGAAGGAGCTTTACAAGTTTGGAAGACGGAGATTGGAAAGAGACCAGGTAATAGAGAAAGGACAAGGACAAATGAAAAATTGAACTGATGATAGTGGAGATCAGCTTGGATTCAAAGAGGTCCTGGATATTGCTGATACTTCAGGACTATTTGAATAAATGTGGGAAGGGGTAGCAGGGTGGGACTGGGATTTAGCTGCCACGGGGAGATTGCTGAGAGTTACCAGTAAGAGACAACTCACCTGAAGGTAATCCTGCCAGGAGCTGCAAAGCTGCACCTTTGGATCAAGTATCAGCCACAGGAAAGCAGAGGAGCTGCATGTTAGCCAAGACAAAGCCCTTGTTTGTTCTTTCCTTATGCTTTAGAGCTTTAAAAAAAAACAAAAACCCCCAAACCAACCGGTGTCTTGTGCATGTGTTCCACAAGTGTGTGACTGACCTGTAGCTGCTTTACAGAAAGAAAGATCTAATGTGATGATTATAAAGGGGGGGATAACAAAATTCACGAAAATACTAAGGAAAAACTGAGTTGTGTATATGCAGGTTTTACACCATCATATTCAGCCCTGCCAAGGGTGTGACATACTATTCACACCCCATGCTAGGAGGAATTAGGAGTTTCTTAAGCTCTTGGTAAAGAGAGAGATAAGGCTCATCCTCCTGCCACAAGAACAGTGTGGAGAGAAACCTGAAATGGCATTTCAGTGCACTCCAAGGTGGCTGCAATTAAGGAATACATTAAGACAGAGGTGAATCATGGGGAATGAAGATGACAGCTCTTGGAGCATGGCATCATCTTTTATATGCTGATCAGACACAATACCCACTAGGCTATGTTCTGAAATAGAGGGAGCTTGAAACCATCGAGGCGAGGTACCAGAGCAGTCCTGTCTGGGAGCATCTTGTTAGCGAGGGAAGTGCTGCACACATCTTACAGAGAGAGCTTTATTTCATTTCTCTTTCCTTAGCCTAAAAAATGAAGCTGTATACATGGAAACCAAATACATTTTCTCATGGACAAGAGAATAATAAAGAAGCATGTGTGTGAAAAGAAAGATAAAGCTCAGCGTGTTCCTGCAGAATCTGGCAGCAGCAGAAGGACAACGTGGAAGCAAAATAGTTTGCTGATGAACTAGAAAGACAAGGTTATTGATGCCTCTGAGAAAATACTCCCACAACAAACTGAAGTCTCAAATCCTCTTGGCAGACAGATGGCAGAGGGATTGTTTGATACCTGGTGGAAATGCTTAGCACTGACTTTTCCCATGCCAGCCGTTTTCACCACACTTAGAGAAGTGTGTATCACAAGCTTTGTTCCCAAAGAGTCATATATACCACCTGGGTTCTGCAGAAAACATCTGCTGGAACAGTTGTAAGCAAAACCTGAATAGTCCTTATTCCAAGTTGTTTTCTTCTATTCAGTCTGGTCTCTCACTCCAGCTGCTTTGGCAGTGGCACCTGGATAAAGACAGTGAGTATTAGGAGGAGGAAACTTCTCAGTCTCATTTCACAAGCAAGATTAGTCTACTATAAACCTTCAGAAACTGTAAAAAGACCTAAAATATAACAGCTGCAAATTCTGGTTGGGAATTCCTTTTGTTTGTAATTTTTCACTTGCTATTTGTAATGCTTAATGCCTAGGAAATCAGTTTGAAGGCAATGAGTCCTGCCATGGAACAAACAAATACCCAACTCAGCTCAAGCAGTAAAACCCCATTTTAGAGATGAAGCTGAGGGTATTGAGACAAATAAGGAGTTACCAAGATCATGCAGGATGAGGAGAATGACACCCTAATGTCCTAAATCCATGCCAAGTGGCCTGATGACAGAGGACCAAAAAAACCCCACAAAACCTGAACACATGTTTCTTGTTTCATCTTTCCATGGACTGGGATAGCAACTGTTACCTGGCACAATTAGGATGGACCATGAATTTATCTCCCTGCTCCAAACCTCACAGCCCTCATTGTTAAAAACCTCCCAGAAATTTGGGGGGGAATGGCTGGGGTTCCTATTGCTCCCTGGCACCTGACAGCACCCAGGTTTGTTAATCATTGCTGTGCAAACTGCCTGGCAGTACCTGAGGGAATAATCATTTCTGTGTAAGTATAAATGAAAGCAAAATGAGGCTCACTATATTAAAATGTTAATCATAAACTCAGGATGAGTTACAAAATACTACTTGACCATTTTGAATTGCAGAAGATTTTCTGTCTTCTTCCTCAAGCTTTAGCAACACAAATGCAACAACATCACCAACAAGTAGATCTGTCAGCTTTTAGGATTTCTTGAATAATGGTACAACACAAGGAAACGTAACAGTTTAGGAGAGCAGAAAGTTAAATCTGGCCGCCACTGTTTTGAGAAGTGGCCCATGAATTTCATACCCAAGAGCACAACAAGAAGCAGTTTTCACAGTTTGGGACTTGGATTCTCAAAGCCATGATGATGATATCAAACTCACACGAGTTGTGATCACTAAGCACTTTTCAGTGGCAAAGATTTACTTGAAAATATATGTAAACCCCACTGGTTACCAGTACTTTTTCCTATAACCTTGCTCCGTCTTCACTACTAATGGATCCAGTTTCTTCCTATTTGCACTAGAATTTTGCAGTTGATTTAAAAAGGGACAAAAAAAAAAGATTAGAGCAGCAAAGAATCACTAAAGTAATATACCCCTTGTTGCTGGGCGAGGCAGGCAGGAGCAGGGCTAGAGGCTGTGGGTCAGTGTGGGCCATGTGATTGTGCTCTCGTGTCAAGTGAGAGCTAAGGAAAAACAGCTACTGAAGAGAAAAATGTGGTTTTTTAAGGGGGACTGAGGCCAGACTAATGTGAAAAATAATAACCTGTTGCTCTCCTGAAATAAGCATCTTATAATAGCATATATCATAACTAATACACTATTAGTAGTGTGCTAACATGGAATTTCTGGGAGTTTGTTCACCCTCTAGGAGAATTTCCTTTCTTTTACCTTATGGATGCAGACATGGATGTGTGAGGCTGCAGCCTCAGCACTTGCTGCTGTTTCTTTGTGCAAGTTGTACCTTAATGGTGCCAGAAAACAACCACCTGCATCCCAGAACAAAAATGATGAGGATGCAGCCTGTGGGTGTGTTTTCCAGCCCCACCAAATGCCCAATGTTTCCAAGCACAGCTCAGAGTGTGCTGGGAGAAGGTGATTCCCTCCCCTCATTGCCACCACTCAGCGCTCACCGGTTTGAGATAAGCCACGTTGCTCTGACGGATGTCGTTGAGCAGCTGATCTCTTGGGGTTATTTCAACAAGGGGAGGTGGTCTTCTCCTGGGGATTGGTTTGAGTGTTTTGATGACATCTTTGAGGTTGGTTTTCTCGGTGGGTTCCACATACTCCGGCACCGCAGGTTTGCGCTGAGTCTTCTTCAGCTTCACCACTCTGAAGCTGACAGGTTTCTCTCCGCAGGGCTGCTCTGGAGCAGACTGCCTCGCACTCTCCTGCCTTTTGTTCAGGGACATTGCTGCAGGAACGGATGGTTTTGGGGCTTGTGGGGGTTCATGCATCCTCAGCTGGGGCAAAGGTCCCCCCAACATTTCCCACATCCCAGGAGGCAACCCAAGTCCATTTTCCAGCATGGCTATCAACTCCTTCTGCTCTTTCATTTGCTGCTGCCTTTGCCCCTCTTGCCTCTTTTGCCTCTGCTTGTCCAGGTTTCTGCTGAGCAGGTTGGTCACCACCATCCTGGGCCCTGGCAGTTCAAAGTGATACCCCAACTTAAGGAGGGTGGTGTTGGCTTTCAGCAGCCTAGCGATCTCCATTTCTGCCTGGTGGCCCAGCATGCCCCTCTGGTTGTGAAAACGGAGCTCTGTCAGGGTCTCATTGTACTGCAGGCATCTCATGATGGCCACGATGCCTTTGCCAGAGATGAAATTGGAATCGATGTTCAGCGTGGTGATGCTCCTGTTCTCCCGCAGCATGTTGGCCAGCGCGAATGCCACGTTGTCATCAGCCCCCACGTTGGCCAAGCTGAATGTTTTGATGTTCTTGTTCTTTTTCATGGCATTGACAAAGTCTATCAGCATTTCTTTGGGGACGTTTTCTATATTGTTCAGGTTGAGCTCTTTCACCTCTGGGTTGTTTTTGCGGACTTTGTCCAAACTCTCATCTAAATTGGTTTGATTTCCTGAAGGTCTGGCACTCAGCTTCATGAAGCTGGTGTCCAGTGCTAATTTTTGGGGGATGTTCAGTTTTGATACTTTCTTTTCATTTGGCTTTTCTTTGATTTCTCCTGGTTCTGTACCTGGTTTCTTAGTTATCTGATCACTGTGACTGTTCTCATTAGTGCAATTCTTCTTTGTTTCCAATTCATTCTCATCTTCCTCTTCGTCTTCCTCCTCCTCACCATCTTCCTCTTCTTCTTTCTCATCTTCCTCCTCCTCCTCTTCACCATCTTCCTCTTCTTCTTTCTCATCTTCCTCCTCCACTCTCTCCTTACTGCTTCCATCTTTCTTTGTCTCCCCAAGCTGTATTACTGAGTTGGATACATGCTCATTTTGGTAATGTCTCTCTTTTCCCTCTGCTCCTGGTATCCTCCTGCCATCCACCTCACTGCTGCCACTGGCCTTTCCTTCCAGCTCCTCTGCAGCACTTCTCTGAGGAAGACAAAACCTCACAGCTGAAATTATTGAACACAGCTTTGTTACATTAACTTTCTGCTCAAAAAGACCCATGCAGCAGTTGGATTTAGATCCCTCTATGCCCATACATTATAGAATAATCCTTAAAGATGGCACTGCCTGTATGTTGGTTTTCTTGGGAACACAGACATGATTTGTTCTTAAAGAGGCTGCAAACCAGTTTCTCATCTTTGTCTACAAAATTAAGTCTTGACAATTAACTTCTGAACATATTTAACACTATGTTAAGGTGGTCCTCAAACCCTTCTGGGGGTTAAGAGTCTCTGATCCAAAGTATCTTTCTGGATTTTCTTTCATTTTTATTGTTTCTTTGACAAGAGAGAAAGTTTCTTTTGTATGCCACAAACCACTGGAAATCAGTGTGAACCATTGATTGTTTTCTCAGCCCAAGAAGGAGTGAAAAGGGCACATAGTGGCCATGGTGGAGTCATCCAGCACATGAGACAACAAGGCCACCTGCCCTGGTACTGCCAGAGCATCACAGCTAAGGAAGCACCTCACTGAAGAGAGGTTTTGAGTCCAGAGCTAGGAAACCAGACCCTGCACACAGCTGTTGCAAGGCAATGGGGCTTCTAGCACCCAAGTAAAATTAGTTGCAAACTTCCACCACCTCCAGAGATCCTCCTAGCTGAGATTTTTTTTCTTTCAAGCATCTTTTTGCAAGTGGATCCTTCATCACCAAGATATGCTAATAAAGCACTAATAAAATCAAGATATTTTCCTAAGATTTGCTCTAGTTCAGGCAGGGCAGAGTCTTGGCTTTTGCTGCACCCAAAGTCAGACACGGATGGTCACAGTCACTTCTGCCCTCAGGGTTGTGGCCCCGATTTGCTGTGGGAGTAGATGAGTTTAGTGTGAAAGTTGCTTGACCAGTTGTGAGTCAGATGCCAGAGTTAACCTCAGAAGTGTTAAAATATTGTTTTCTTTCAGGGTATGAGTGTTTCAGGAATGAGAAAAACCACACATTACCCCCTGCTTTCCAGAAGCAGCCCATGAAACCTGCCCTGGGAAGACCATGATGTACCATGTTGTGTCCTAGCAAAACCACTGGTATTTAAAACAAAGCTAAAATAAACCAGTTACCTCAAATTCACTTAGGCTCAGGTATGGATGTCTTTCATCTGGTCAAGTTTCAATTCTATTAACCTATTTTTAAGTGTGGCCCTCATCCTGAAAGATATCTAAGCATGACCTTAACTTTATTTCAAAGTCATAGGGGTAGTCGAGTGAATTTAAGGACTGTGTTCTAAAGGGTTGGACTGGTGCATGGAGTTTGCATGCTTGGTTGTTAGTGAATGTTTCACAATGTTAAAATAGAGTGGGTTTGGGGTTTTGTCCAGTAAGACATGAAATTCTGTCCATTAATTAATACATATGATTTATGTAATCTTCTATGGAAAACCAACATGGTGTTGTTCCATATGCAAAGTCAAACAAATTTGAGTGACATCCTCCAGACTGATCTTCTGACAATTTCTCAGTGATGTGCTTTAATGACACAGAATTAGGATTTTCTTATATTAAAAAGCTTAAACATATATTTGGGAAAAGCAATTAAAAAATTACTAACCCTGACATCAGTCCAAGCTGGATTCTGTCACTGCTGAGGCTTTTAGGATTAATCTAAATTTGGTTGTCCCATACCTTACGTAAGGGACAGAAGCAGAGGCAGGTTAAGGTATTAAAGCTATAAAACAGATCCCACAACAGATGCATAATAAATATTTGTGATTTTTTGCTTGTTACCTCAGAGGGCAAGAGGGTGACAGGAACTCTCTCGTCCTCGAGCATGCGTCTGGATGCCTTCTGCCAGTACAGGTAGTCAACCAGGGACCTGTGGTCGAAGCTCCCCGTGGGGGGTTTCTCCGTCTGATCCTTCTGTATCATCCCAATTGGGACTTCAGGGTCTGGGGCCATGACTTCCATCTCGCTCTGTAGCTCCTTGAGCTCCTCAGGGGACAGGTTTGCCAGGATTTCATCTTCATCAATATCCTCAGGAGCCTCATCGGAGTTTTGGCTGAGTTCAGACATGTTCATTCTTCTCTCCTTGCTCTATTACTTTTGAAACCTAAAGAGAAGGCTAAATTTCCACGGATTTTAATTTTTTTTCCCCCCCTTGCTAGCAGTAGTTCATTCGGTTAAATCGACAACTTCATGTTTTGGTCATGAGCTGTGGCAGCTCTGAGTCTCAGTGCTGGAGACAGCCCGTGCAGCTAAGTCTATATTAAGCTGCACTTGGCTGGATGAAGAGAATTTATGGCCATGCTCCATTTTCAGCAACCTGTCAGCTGTGCAAACCCTTCTGACATTTCAGTGCAGCTGGTGCGTCCCCCATTGAGGGAGGCAGGAGACAGCCGTGTTCCAGAGGATTCCTGGGACACTGAGCTGTTCAGTGCTTCACCACATGCTGAAATTGCTGTAGGAGGATGCAGGGACATTAGTGGTACCTGTGAGGTGCAACAGGTAAAAACCTGCCTGCAGGAAGAATCAGCACAAGGTCTCTGTAGCATCTCCAATCTGTCTCACAAGGACTGGGGACTGCAGGCTCTGCACTACCTTTGGCCATATCTAAACCCTGACTGAACATTGCAGTGGTTTTGGTGTGAGTGCAGCCACCTGCAGTTGATGACCTCTCCTATACCTCACATTCTGGTTGGGGTGAAATCCTCCAAGATGGAAAAAGGCAGGTGAACAGTTGGTACAACACACTTTGTTCTTGGAAATAGTGGTCCGTGCAAGGACAGGCACCAGCCCTTTGAGCCAAGCTGAATGGTCCCAATGGGAGCATTTCTCACAGCACATCCATGCCCTGCTTCCACTGAGTCTCCCCAGGAGCAATGCCAATGTCCTTCTTCTGGCCTGGCCTTTAGCATGGACATTGTTTCAACTGTCAACACATCTGACAGTTCATCTCAGGTTCTTCCTTTTCACCATTTTTTCAGAAGAAATAAGCAACTACAAAAATCTGCTTTGCTAATATTCATAAAACTGATGTAACATGAGAAGATTACCCAAAATCCTTTTTTTATTACGTATCCATTCCATCTAAGAAGTACCTCCTTCTTTGCTCAGAGTACTTTATAGGCTTTTGGAACCAGAAAGCCACACCTCCAACACCACTGTGCTCATAATGTGGGTGGGTAATTTTTATACTCACAGTTTGGGCTGTTCATTGGATTAAGGAAGATTTCCTCTCATAATTTCAAGTTTTCTTTGCAGGGATGTCAAATCAAATCCTCAACTTGCAACTGCTAATGCATCTTCCATAGGAAAGAAACCACAGAGGAGAGGCTGTGAAATCAAGCCCCTCCAATTTTTAAGCCATATTTCTCATTAGAGTCTCAACTATGCTCTGCTGGAGTCTGCCAGCAGCAAAATAGGCTGTGCATGATGATAGTCTGTCTTGGCTGTGCTTTGTAACAAGAAACATGGTGTTCAAAGCCCCATTAACCTCTATTAAAAAGCCATTATCCAAAGGTCCTCATTTGACTCGTGCTGTTACACAGTGGGGAAGAGGGCAAAAAATTTAAGAACAAAATAAGTGGTAAAGGAAGAAAATAACAAAGAGCCAAGCCAAGAATGCAATGGCTCCATTTGCCCCTTTGGTATTTCAGGAGACATCCTTATCCTTATTTTATATTATGCAGAAGCAAGCACAACAGCAGACACACACATCAATCTATTTGCTCTAGCAACTATAACCCCCACTGATAGCTGTCCATAATAGAGTCTATAAATGGTTTCCTGATGTTATCAAATAAATCAATGCTCTTCGGTAGCTGCTATGTTACTCTCCCAAACGATGCTGTTTGGGTCACAGAAGCTGTCTATTCAGTGGTTACTTATCACTTGTTAATTTCTTGACTGTAAATAATGCCCTATGCCACCTTCTTGGATTTCCATGATCTTCAGCCAGGCCATCTTGGGCCATGGTCTTGTCAGATCATCTAACTTAAGCAGGGTCAAACCCATGAAGTCCTCTTGAGAAGGAAAACAGGGATACTGAGAACACTATCAGGTTTTCAAAAAGCAAGTTTTCTTCTAAGCAGAGATATATCACTTGTCAATACCACTATTAGGAAACACTATCCTGGGAGTGATGCCTTCCCCATCAGATGCAGAGTGTGGGGCTGCCTGCTGACACCTCTCCTGGTGACACGAGTGCTAATCCCACAGATTTCCAAGGTGGGTATCACATTTTGCCTACTTTAGGTTTCTGCTCCATAAATTATGAGTTCAGGATGCACTTCCTTTCCTAACACACTGCTTAGTGTTTCAGTGTTCTGGAAACAGCACATTAGAGCAACAAACAACACCCTCTGGGCTGAGGACATGCTCACAGCAGATCTAGGAGACTTTTCCAAGTCAAAACTCCCATTTTCTTCCCAATAACACCTTCAGGTATTCCCCTTGGAGCTTGCAAAAACAAAATCACACATCCCTCGACCTTCATTAAGACAGGAAAGCCACTTCCATTGGTGGCACTTGCTATTTTCACACCAATTTGACACTTGCTCAGGAATCCCTGGATTAATAAGCTGCTGCACGAGGTGCCCTGTTACGAGAGGGCAGAGCTGTGCTGTGCCAGCAGCTGCACTCAAAGCCCCAGCAGGAGGTACCTGCAGCAATCACAGAGCTATTCCTACAGGTAGCAGCTCAAAATTCATGCTAAGTAGGTATCTAACAAGCACTAAACAAAAGCACTTTTGGAGCAAACTGATAATAGAGGTCTTCCTTGGTAACAAACAATTCCTACTCTACCCTTGGTAATGAACTCACTGTTTCTAAAGCAGGTACTCACATATGGATGAACTCTGGAACGAAACCCAGCAGGCTCTCCTGCAGGATTGCTTCACATCATTGATTTTTTTTCTCATTTGCATGTCCTCTTCAAAAATTCCAACCTATCTCTCTTGAAAGCAAAAGGATTGACAAGCTCTTAACTCAAATATCAAGAAAGCCTGACCCCTGTGCCACCATTTGACACAAGGCAGCCCATCAACCCATGCTTCAAGTGCCTAAAACTGTTCTATTTATAAGGTAATTGATGGGACACATGCTGATGCCAAATACTTGAGAGCAATTTCTATGTTAACTTTCATTTTTTTGCTTATAAACCCCACACATTTATTCCCCTTTATTACCAATCCATGGCACTTCCAAGTGCCAAGGTATTAACTGCACTGAGTTGGAGAACGTGGCTGTGTAACATAACCTTGCATTACTTTAAAGAAACTTGTAGGCTGATGGGAGAGTCTAAAATTGATGAACAGGAACATACACCAAGCATGTCCAGCAGTGAGGTGTAATGCAATACAGGGATTATAAAGGGTCAGATGATGGGATCTTAACAATAACAACTACTAAGTAACAGGAGCAATCAGAGAGAGACACCCTGTGGGAAAAACACCAGGAGAAAAAAAAAACCCACCCACCACACCTCCGAATTCTTATAGCTATAAATATATCAGATTGAGTTTGTTGCTTAAATAGAGTAAGGACATCTGACTTTCAAAGTATTTGCCCAAGTGGTTTGACAGGGAGCTGCAAAGTCAAACCCTCATGTGAAGCAGCAGGCACAGCAGTAACTGGTGTCGGGCAGGATGGAGCAGCAGGGGTGGTGGTGTGAGCCTCTCACCCCTACCCCAGATCAATAAATCACCACATCTCACTGTGTTGTGGTCTGGTGATTTCCTTTGGGTCTGGAGAAGCAAGTGGAGCTGAATCTCCTGTTCCAGTGGGACCTGAATGCCTCTAATTTAGCCCCAAAATAGAACTTCATGTTTTTTCTTATTTTTATAAGCTTCCATTTTTAGAGAAGTCCAAGAGGAGCTACACTAGGTCCTTCCCATGCAGTAGGAAACCACCTCTGTCATCATCCACATTCCTTATTACAGGAAAAAGAAAATGTTACTATGTGTAGAGAGAAAAGAGGAGTGTGGAGGTCTATGAGAGACCATAAGCAAGTCTCTTCTTTTATGGGGAACAGGAAATTCATGGTGTTGAATGCCTGACTTCAGGGACTGAGCTACAGCTCTGCCTGGGACTTCTCACCAATGGCCAGAACCAAAAGCTGCCCTGAGCTGCCTCGGAGTGGCTTCACCTGGTCTGGGACAGAGTTGAGGCTGGTTATGGCCATCAAAGGGGGACACCAACTCCCTGCACCAGGAACTACCCAGGGACAGAGAGAGTAGGGCAGAACTGGCTCCTGTCTGATGGTCCAGAGAAGAGCAACGAGGCTGGTGAAGGGACTGGAGCACAAGTGCCATGAGGAGAGGCTGAGGGAGCTGGGGGTGTTCAGCCTGGAGAAGAGGAGGCTCAGGGGAGACCTCATCACCCTCTGCAACTCCCTGACAGGAGGTTGGAGTCAGGTGGGGGTTGGTCTCTTCTCCCAGGCAACCAGCAGCAGGACAAGAGGGCACAGACTCAGCTCTGCCAGGGGAGGTTTAGGTTGGATATTAGGAAGAGATTTTTTACAGAGAGTGTAATCAGACATTGGAATGTGCTGCCCAGGGAGGTGGTGGATTCACCATCTCTGGAGGTTTTCAAGATGAGACTGGATGTGGCACTTAGTGCCAAGCCTGGAGAAGAGGAGGCTCAGGGGAGACCTCATCACCCTCTGCAACTCCCTGACAGGAGGTTGGAGTCAGGTGGGGGTTGGTCTCTTCTCCCAGGCAACCAGCAGCAGGACAAGAGGGCACAGACTCAGCTCTGCCAGGGGAGGTTTAGGTTGGATATTAGGAAGAGATTTTTTACAGAGAGTGTAATCAGACATTGGAATGTGCTGCCCAGGGAGGTGGTGGATTCACCATCTCTGGAGGTTTTCAAGCTGAGACTGGATGTGGCACTTAGTGTCATGGTCTAATAACCATGGTAGGTTTGGACATGATGATCTTGGATGCGTTTTCCAACCTGGTTGATTCTATGATTCTATGATACAGCTCACAGAGCACAAGGCAAACATCATGCTGAATTGCACACTGCCCATGGGCATCTACCCAAATATTTACTATTATTGACCAAGGGGTTAT